TCTTGCCTAATTGCTATTGCAAGTATTTCCAGTACTATATTGAACAGCAGTGGAGAGAGTGGGCATCCTTGTCTCGTCCCTGATCTTAGAGGGAAGGCTCTCAGTTTTTCCCCATTGAGGATGATGCTTGCTGTAGGCTTGTGGTAGATGGCTTTAACTATGTTGAGGAAAGTCCCCTCTATACCCATTTTGGCTAGGGTTTTCATCATAAAGGCATACTGGATCTTGTCAAATGCTTTCTCTGCATCTATTGATATGATCATATGCTTTTTATCTTTTCTTTTGTTGATATGATGGATTATGTTGATTGATTTCCGAATGTTAATCCATCCTTGCATCCCTGGGATGAATCCTACTTGGTCATGGTGTATGATCTTTTTGATGAGTAGTTGGATTCTATTTGCTAGTAGTTTGTTGAGGATCTTTGCATCTGTGTTCATCAGGGATATCGGCCTGTAGTTCTCTTTCTTTGTGTTATCTCTGTCTGCTTTTGGTATCAGTGTGATATTTGCTTCGTAGAAACTGTTCGGAAGTGTATTTGATATTTCAATTTTGTGGAAAAGCTTAAAGAGGATTGAGAGTAAGTCTTCTTTAAAGATTTGGAAGAATTCACTAGTGAATCCATCCGGGACAGGTCTTTTGTGCTTGGGGAGACTTTTTATTACCATTTCAATTTCCTTGATGGTGATAGTTCTGTTCAGGTATTCCAGGTCTTCTTGGTTCAGCCTTGGGAGTCTGTAGGAGTCTAGGAATTTATCCATTTCCTCAAGGTTTTGATGTTTCATGGCATAAAGCTTCTCAAAGTATTCCCTGAGGATCCTTTGAATTTCTGTGGTTTCTGTTGTAATGACCCCCTTTTCATTTCTGATTCGGTTTATTAGGGTTTTCTCTCTCCCTTTCTTTTTGAGTTTTGCTAGGGGCTTATCATTCTTGTAAATTTTCTCGAAGAACCAGCTCTTGGTTTCATTGATCTTTCGGATTGTTTTTTGGGTTTCCATCTCATTGATCTCTGCTCTGAGTTTTATTATTTCCTTCCTCCTGTTAGGGTTGTGCTCCTTTTGTTGGTCCTTCTCCAAGTTCTTAAGCTGTGAGGTTAGATTATTTATGTGGGCTCACTCCTCCTTTCTGAGAAATGCTTGTAGAGCTATAAACTTTCTTCTTAAGACAGCTTTTGCTGTGTCCCATAAGTTTTGGTAACTTGTGTCCTCATTTTCATTCGTTTCTAGGAATCTTTTGATTTCCTCTTTAATTTCCTGTCTAAGCCACTTGTTGTTCAGTAGCGCACTGTTTAATTTCCAGGTGTTTGATTTTGTTTTCTGTTTTTGTGTGTGATTTACTTCTAATTTAGTGCATTATGGTCTGAGAAGATTGTTGATATAATCTCTATCTTCTTAATTTTATGGAGGCATGTTTTGTGGCTCAGCATGTGGTCTATCTTGGAGAATGTTCCATGTACACTTGAGAAGAATGTGTCTTCAGCTTTTTGTGGATGAAGTGTCCTGTATATATCTACTAAGTCCCTTTCTTCCATCATTTCCCTCAGATGAAGTATGTCCTTGCTACGATTGAGTCTGGTTGATCTATATACACTCAACCTTTCGTCCATCAAATGAACACTAAGGAATACTATGTTTGATTGCATGTGATTACAAGATTATATAAAATAATATATATAAAAAACTATGTTAAATGCTCTATGTTCACTTTAAAACCAGTAGTAAAATTAGTATGTCTGATGTATGCTTTAAGATGCAAGATTAGAAGCTTCTTAAGAATAGATATTACATTACGGCTCTTTAAAATTACTGAGATATTTTCTCTTTTTAACATTGTCTCTGACACTCATATAAAACTCAATCATGACTAGAAATAATTAAAAATACAACACATGTTAGTAAGAATAAATCTATATCATATTTAATTTTACATAAGTAGTTATAGGATAATTGATTTCTGGCTAAATTGGACTCTCATTCATTTTTTAAATAGTTTTTCTTATCAATTTGCTTGAGCGGGCCCAGTAATGTGTCCATTATGAGACTTGTTGCTACTGTGTTTGGCATATTGAATACATCACGGGTAGCTTGCCAGGCTTTGCAGTGCGGGTTAGATACTCTCAGTAGCTTGCTGGGATCTCTGAGAGGGGCAGAGGAATTGAACCCAGCTTGGCCAGGCTGGCTGTGCGAAAGGCAAACGCCCTACCACTGTGGGAAATGTATTAAGAGTTATTTTTTTATTTTAACTCCATTTCATTTTTTTTTTTTTGCTGTATACTAACATGTATACTAATATGTATATCGGGCGGGGGGGGTGCACTTCTGGCAGGAAATAAGTCTTATTGCTGGGCTCTGTGCTCAGATACCACTCCTTGTGTGGTCCAAGGACTACATGTGGTGCCAAGCATCAAACCCAGAACATCTGAGTGGAAGGCAAGCACCCTACTCACTGTAATATTGCTAAAGCCCCCACCATTTATTTTTCAGAGGTAACATTCTATTGGTCATTATAGTCATTCATACAAACAGAAAACACCAACATAGTGGACAAAAAATACATCTCAGAACTATATTTATTTTATTCTTGCTTCAAAAACAGTGAGAGGGGCTAAGTGATAGCACAGCAGATAGGGCATTTGCCTTGCATGCTGCCAACCTGGGTTTGATTGCCAACATCCCATTTGGTCCCCTGAGCATCGCCGAGAGTAATTCCTTAGTGCATGAACCAGGAGTAATTCCTGTGCATCACCAGGTATGACACCCCCCCCCCCCAAAAAAAAAAAAACAGAGAGAAATTTGTTTTGGAAGCTTGAGTTAGTTAACCTTTTTAACTATGTTAATGATATAATTGTTCCATACTGTTGAGGTTCGGTGGCTTCTCAAGGTGTTTTATATCTCTTGACACCAAACTGTTATATGCAATCATTTATAATTACAATGCTTTCCCCATAACTATCGAATCATAAAAAGAAATGTTCAAATGTCTATTTTTTATAAATCTAAATCAATATTATTGTTTTATAAATCAATATAGCGGTTTTCTAAGAAAAAGCTGTATCTATATATGTAGATATAATTTGGGGTCAAATCTGACAGTTCTCAAGGCTTATTCATGGCTCTCCACTTAAGGATCATTCCTGGAAGAGCCTGAGGGATAATATATATAGTTCTGTATAGAAGATCCTGGTTAGCTGTGAGCAAGGTAAACACCCTACACACTTTACGATCACTTCAATCCCTCAACTGTGCTATTTTAAGTATTTTATAAATAACGAAAGGTTCTAGTGGTGATAATACTTTAAGTCAAGCATTAAAAAAATGCCAAAAGACATTCTTCGAGTATGTTCATAAACATACTTTGGGTGGTCTGCAAATTTTAACAAATGACTATTATTTCTCAGTCACAGATTAGATGAAAAAATTAGGAAAAGTAAAAAGATCATTGATCAATGAAGAAATATTATTGAGATCATATAATTGAACAAACTTTTAAATGCACAATTTTTTTCTATAATTCACCAAAGTGAGATATTGGAGATTTTAATATTCTGCTATTATTACATGTAAATGATATTATAAAAATAATGTTCATAGTGGTTACCAGACTGTACCAAATTCTAGACGATATTTGCTTCACAAAGTTAAAAGAGGTTTTTATATCACAGATTAGCCAGTAGACCCCAACTGTTATTGAGCACTGTATTAAAATAAACTGACTCACTGAGGTAAAATAACCCATCCAATGTTTTCTAGAAATTAATCAACAAAGACAGATTTCTGGTGGTTGACTTCTGACTTTCAGTATTTATCCATTCATTACATTGATAAAAGGAAATCAATTTCTTAAATGCCCACAGAAATATTTATTTGATCTCAAGAGGGAAATAACATAAAGAAATGCCTAACAGATATGTCAATGCTAGTTTCAATAGTAATTAAATTTGTACATTAAAATGTGAACTCTTTAGGTTGAATAGGAGAGTATAGTTACACCAGAACCCTGTTAATAAAATATTTTAAATAAATTTAAACAAAAATTTAAAGAGAAAATTTTTCCAAAAGTACAACATAGAGCATGATTAAACATTGATTAATCATGCTAAATTAAGATTAAGTGATTAAGACTGCTAAATTATTAATATTATTTGCAGCTTCTGACAATAGCCCTTTGAGCTATCAGTGACTCCATGCAATATAAGAAAATGTAAGTGAGGGAAAAGGGTTTTGTCTACAGTGAATTGCAAAGGCAACACATCTGGTCATATCTTACTAAGAAAATTACAATGCTGAACTGTACCCATTTTTCTCTTAAAAATTTAAGTAAGACACAGTGAGCTATTTGAGGAACTGATGGAATGCTAATAAAAACAATAACAGCAACAATAAAATGACAGTGCCATCATTTTCTCGTTATGAACTATATTTAAGGAGTTGATAGTTCCAATAACTATTAATAGCTTCCTTTTGAGGAAAGAAAATTGTGAGGCAGATGATCTCATCATGTAAGTGATAGAGACTAGATTTTAATCAGGATCTTTATGTCTATAAGACATTTTCAGACATTATTATACATTATTATTATATATAATCAATTTACTATTATATCTAACAGATATTAACTATTATATCTATTTGATTGACTATTATGTCTAATCAATTGACTATTTGGGAGTTTAGAACACAGCCTGAAGTGCTTAGGGATTTTTGAAATATTTTAATTAAAACATATCCTAAGTTCCATATTGAAACATTCACCATATTGAATTTTCAATATACTTTAATTTCCTACTTATATTTTATAATAAGATGGTGAAAAAATGATAAATAAAAAAGTGATACATATTTTAAATCATAGATGTTTAAAATGTAAAAAAGATGTAAAAAGATGTAAAACAGACAGTTTAAAAAGAATCAAAGGAAATATATATGAAAAGTATTAAAACAATTGATAAATCTACTAATATTTAAGGAAAATGAGCACAGGAAAAGTAATGAAATTTATACCTTCTTCTCTCCATAATATGTTAGCTACTGCAGCATGTTAAGAAGAAAAAGAAGAGGAAAAAAATGAGTAAAGAGAAATTTAATTACATAATAATATAAATAACTATTACAGAGGTCACAATCTCTAGGATAGAGCATTTGTAAAACATAAGGAAAGTAATTTGACAAATGACTCTGAATTAGCAATTCAATATAATTCTGGGACTAGTTAATACCATTCTGCATATTCCTTTTTGCAACCAATTCTTTGGAATAATATTATGTTATTAAACAAAAAGCATTTTATGCATCACTGAAAAGGACAGTAAATTTAGGTTAATTTTCTTGGAATACACATTTAGAACAAGCATCAGCAGTCAAAACAATTTATTTGGCAATATAGTTAAAAGTAGTTCTAGAAAAGCTATGCTTTTAAATCCTGAATAACCATAATACATAATGTTGCTACATATTATGCAATATTCCTAAGCAAGAAATGGTTTTAGAAAAATAAAATTCTACTGAAAAATATTCTGTTTTTAAGTACTAAATATTTTTATTTTAAAACCAGAAAGAATGAAAACACATGTAAATAAATCTTGCTAATTTCAGTGTACAATACTAGTTTAAACTTTATTTTTCTAGTCATAGACATGTTCATTAAAATTACTTAAGGATCAAATCAATAAACATTAAAATAATGAGAAAATTTGAAGATTTAGTGATCACCACAATGAAAGAACACACATTACACAAAAATGGATGGATAAAGGTAGTGATAAATGTGAATAAGGGAATACTATGCAGTTATACATTAAGATTATATTATGCAGTTTTCTAAAACATAGGTGAAAACTTAGGGTGTCATGGTAAGGAAAATAAGTCAGAGGGAATAAAGATACAGAATTGTATCACTCATTTATGGTATATAGGGGGAAAATGAGAAGGTAGTATCAAACAATGACAAATTCTTGACCTTGGATTAAAAAACTTACATTAACAAGAAATTTGGGCAGGAAGAAGGGGAAAGAACAGAAAAACTTCAGAGCCTCTTTACAGAAACAGCATAATGACTTGGTGGGTGGTATTTTGGTACTTTGGTGAATAAGTTTGTAAATAAATACCAGAAGCATTAACCATATTGTAATCATGCAGTCTAAATTATTATAAAAGATATATTTACAAAGCCAATCAGAAATACTCTTGAGGACATGTCCCTACAGATTGAGAGTTTTCCAAATTCTGATGCGGAAACAAAATAATACAATATTGAAAAAAGAAGTGTGAGTAGACAGGAAATACCATCATATATAATTACTTCCTTATTATTTTAAACATGTGCTGGAGCGATAGCACAGTGGTAAGGTGTTTGCCTAACAAGCGGCCAACATGTCCAACTGGAGTTCGATTCCTCTGCCCCTCTCAGAGAGCCTGGCAAGCTACCGAGAGTATCTCGCCCGCACGGCAGAGCCTGGCAAGCTACCCGTGACGTATTCGATAAGCCAAACACAGGAACAACAAGTCTCATGATGGAGACGTTACTGGGCCCGCTCGAGCAAATCGATGAACAATGGGAGGACCGTGATCTTCTGTGATCTATTTTAAACATAGAAATACATAGTTGTCTTCTAAAGCTAACCCTCCAGTGTTTTAATATCAGTGCCAAGAGAAAACTCTGTCATTTCTAACTGAAGGTTTACTTCTAAGTCATGCAGTTTTCAATGTTTTTTCTATATAAATAAAATATATGAATTTTATTATTTGTATGGTATAGATTGTAAATTTTATGTGAATGTTGGTGTCATGGGCTGGAGCAATAGCAGGGCTGGAGCAATAGCACAGCGGTAGAGCGTTTGCCTTGGGCGCAGCCAACCTGGCCGAGCTGGGTTTGATTCCTCTGCCCCTCTCGGATAGCCTGGCATGGTACTGAGAGAATCTTGCCCATGGGGCAAAGCCTGGGAAGCAGCCTGTGAGTATTCAATATGCTAAACACAGTAACAACAAGTCTCAAAAAGGAGACGTTACTGGGCCCGCTTGAGCAAATCGGTGAATGACGGGAGGACAACGTTTTGACAGTGTTGCTTTCATAATTTCATACCTATTTTAGGGGGTGAAACAAAAACACCACTGGGACTCACATATTCAAGGCAAGAACTCTACTAATGAACCAAATTCCTGGACCTTGGGTATTACTTCTCAAACTGGAGAGTTCCAGGAGTCAAGGCACTTGTCTTGTACACAGTTAAACATGGTTTGCTGCAATGTATATGATGTCCTGAGCATAGAGCCAAGATTGAACCTTAATATCTGTATGGTGTGACACCCCAACATTACTTTACATACACACGTGTGTATATGTGTGTGTGTTGTGTGTATCTATATATCTTTGAAAACAATCTTATTACCTAACTTGAAACTACACTATAAAGCTATATTCACAAAACAGCGCAATACTCATCTAATCTCTGACCAATGAGTCGGAATCAAGTACCTCAACAAAAATCTCCATACGTATGTTCAACTATTTTTTGACAAAGAAGCTGGGTATATGAAGGGAATAATGATAGCTTCTTCAACAAATGGTGTTGGAAAACTGGTTAGTCACATGTAATATACTAAAGCTTTGTCCTTATGTTTCACTATACACAAAGACCAAGACCAATTCAAAGTGGATCAAAGATCTTGAGATTAGGCCAGAATACATTTAATACATTGGGGAAATCTGAGCAGAACTCTCCAAGGTTTGGACTTCAAAGGTGTTTTTCAATGATATAGCTTCAATGAGAAAGGCAACAGAAAGAAAAATAAAGCAATGGGACTTCATTAATCTAAAAAGTTTCTGCACAGCTAAAGAAACATGGACTAACTTTACCAGACTACCAACTCAATGGGAAAATAAAATATTTGCATTCAACAAATCAGATAAAGGACAAATAGCCAAGATATATAAAGCATTTACAAAAATTAAAAAAAAAAGTAAAACAAATCCAGAAACTCTGAAAAAGTGAGGAGAGGAAATAAAGGGACACTCTCTGAAGACATACAGTAAATAGACATTTATCCCCATGGAAAAATGCACATCACTGAGGTCGGAAGGATAATGTAGTGGTGGCATGCTTGCCTTGCACTCAGCAGACCAGGTTCAGTCCCAGTTTCCCATGTGGTCCCTTGATATCCCCATCCTTCTAGGAGTGAGCTCTGAGCAGAGAGCCAGGAATAATCTCTGAGCACTGACAGATGCCTAGTCAAAGTATCTATCATCATTTATTTTCAGGGAAACTCAAATCAAGACTACATTAGAATTCATCTTACACCAAAAATATTGGCACACATTAAAAATAAAACAAACTCGGAGCAATCTACATTGGGGAGGATATGATGAAAAAGGAACTCTAATGTATTGCTGGTGGAAATGTTGTCTGGCCTGACATCTATAGAAAACAGTGTGGAGGTTTCTTGAAGTACAAATAGAGCTGCTTTATAAAACTAAACCCAGCAATGCCACTTTTTGGTATATATCCCCAATACAATAATATTCATTCAAAGATATATGCATAATACCATTTATTGCAGCACTCAGCACAATAGCTAGGGTGTGATATTGACCTAGATGCTCAATAATGGATGAGTGGATAATAAAAGTATGGAACATATACACAATGGAAAACTATGCAGCTACAAAGAATGTTGAAATTATACAATTTGCTGTAACCTGGATATCACTCAAGGCTATCAAGTGGATTTAGATGAAAGATAAACATTGGGGCACTTCGCTATGTGCTTTATATATTAATTTTATTATATTATATATCCCTCATGGCAAAGCCTGGCATGCTATCTGTGGCATATCTGATATGACAAAAACAGTAACAATAACAGATCTCATTCCCCTGACCCTGACAGAGCCTCCAATACGGCAGTGTTGGAAAAGACGAGTAAGGAGAGGCTGTTAAAATCTCAGGGCTGGGATGAATAGAGACAGTACTGGCACACACTCTAGTAAATCGATTAATAATGGGATGACAGTGATGCAGTGATATTATATATATGTATATATATTGCATATATATAATAGAAGGAGGAAATGCAAGGCAACAAAGAGATGCCCAGATTATCATTGACCTCAGATCATAGAAATGAGGACATGGAAGAACTGAAACTCTGGGGGCCAAGGAATATAAAGAAAGGGTCAGGAGATAATAAGGCAAAGATTCAGGGGCCTTGAGACCTGAAATAAAAATCAAAATGCACTCTGTAGCTAGTGACAGAACAAAAGTGCTGTGGACATGTGGTACATGTATATGTCTAAACTATAGTAGCAATGATACTATAAGTAGGAAATCCATCTAAAACAACCAAATTTTAAAATGTGCCTGTTAAAGAGGCAAAGTTGGGAATGAAGGGCAACTTGGGGCCACCAGTGAAGGGAAGATAACACTAGTGATGTGTTGGTGTTGGAACTTTGTACAAATGAAACTGAACTAAGAACAACAATGCAAATCATGGTGTATTAATATCAAATTATATGAGTTTATAAAACAGAATATTTCTTATGAAGTACTGAGAGAGATCAAAATGCCAGAGTACACATGTGGGAGCTCAATCTTTAACCCCTGTTACCACATGGACCCCCAAGTACTGCTAGCACAACCTCTATTTACATTTTGTGAAAAAGACCCAAATTATCACCAGTGCACTCCCAAATCAATGATAATAAAGTTTGTGGTATGTGCACATGCTTCCTTACAGCACAATCCATAATATAGCTCGTGTTGCTCTTGGAAAGAATATAAAAGGGACTGATCTTATTCCTCAGGGCAGGACACAGACTAAGAAATTGTCACACCACGCTATAGATAACAGCAGCCATGTGTTAAAGGCAATGAAATAAAAATCAAAATGCACTCTGTAGCTAGAGACAGAACAAAATGATAATATTTGTTCAGATATTGAATCTCACAGGAACCCTTACTAAAATTCAATCTAGTTTCCCTTGATTGTCTTTTGAGATTCAGTTAAGTTTTCTGTCTATTTTGGGCCAACCCTGG